GCCCCGCCGCGGCCCGCCCACCGTCAGGACCCTCCACTGCACCGGCGGCCTCCCCGGGCCCCGCACCTGGCAGCCCCGGCCGAGCCTCAGCGGGCCCGGGTGGGCCTTGGACTGGGTCCGGGCCTGCACCCTGCACCCCCCCGGTCTGAACCCAGCACTGGCCGGGAACGGGCACCGCTGCCAGGAGAGCAGGGGCGTACCGGGGCCTGGGCATCGAGCTCTGGCAGTGACTCCATGAGTGGGTGAGGGAAGAGCCACGGATGTGTCCCTCTGGGCTTCCATCAGGGGGTTGACATGGTGTCCCCCCCAGTGCTGCCTCCAGCTCTGGGGCCACCAACGGCAGGACACGGAGCTGTTGGATGGGGCCAGAGGAGGCCCCGGAGATGCTGGGAGGGCTGGAGCCCCTCTGCTGGGAGGGGGGGCTGAGAGAGTTGGGGGGGTCAGCCTGGAGAATCACAGAATCACAGAATTATCTAGGCTGGAAGAGACCCTCGGGATCATCGAGTCCAGCCATCCACCCTACTCTAAAGTTCTCCCCTACACCATATCCTCCAACACCACATCTAAACGGTTCTTAAACACAGCCAGGGATGGGGACTCAACCACCTCCCTGGGCAGCCTGTTCCAATGCCCGACCACTCTCTCTGTGAAGAATTGTTTCCTAATGTCCAGAAGATAAGGCTCTTCTGGAGGAAGAGGAGGAATTTAGGCTGGATATTGGGGAGAAACTGTTCAAACTGAGGGTGGTGAGAGCCTGGCCCAGGTTGCCCCGAGAAGCTGTGGCTGCCCCATCCCTGGAGGGGTTCAAGGCCAGACTGGAGGGGGCTCTGAGCAACCTGATCCAGTAGAAGATGTCCCTGCCCAGGGCAGGGGATTGGACTAGATGGTCTTTAAATGTCCCTTTCCCCCCAAACCATTTTCTGGTTCTATGAAATGGGGAGCAAAAAGCAGGGAAACCAACAGGCTGGAAGGGGGTGACTCGGCCACCACAGGGCAGGGGACCCGGGCAGCCGGGGGGCTGCTGGAGACCCCGTGGCTTCAACGTGGGGAGGAGCAGCCCTTTCCAAACACACGAGTGCTCACACGCAGTGGAACCCAAGCCGTCCCACAGTGTCATCCATCACCACCGATTGCCATTCACTCCCGTAATTAGCTATTCTGTGATTGGTAATTTCCCACTGTTCACGGATTAAGCCTAAAAGGTTTAATTGGAGTCCTGCCCCTCCCAGCCGACCCCTCCCAAAGCGCAGCTCAGCTCGTCTCTGATGACAGACACTCGGGTGGATTCCCTTTGTGTTTTGATTCCTCAGCCTTCACCTCACTGGCCCCGCGGCCACTGGGCCACCAGCCTCTGTCTGAAGAAAGCCTGGGCTCTGCCAGTGGGCTCTCTCCAGGCGCTGACACAGCAGAGAGGGCAGGAGCTTGTGGCTTCACAGAGAAGGTTTATTTTTAGCCCTTTGCTGGATCAGTTTAAGGGCACTGTATGAAATGCTTCCTGTCTCCGATGGAGCAGATAAGGAGGAAAATGCTGGGATCCATGGAGAGCTCCGCAGGGAAGGCACTGCCACCGATGCTGACGGGGGACCCACGGGCCGGCGGCTTTATCAGCACCAGCTCATCACTAAATGTTTGCACCCATGTTTACAATAACCTTTTGTCCTCAGGAGCTCACTAATGGACTTCAAAGAAGGTTTATCTTGTAGGATCCCAGAGAGGAAGCAATACGGAGTCTCATGTGTCCCTCTGCAAACAAGACACAGCGTTTTCCCTCCGACGCCTGCGCCTGGCCCTGGTATTAAATGTTACCCCCGAGGGAACCCATCCAGCAGGAGACACCCTGCCAGGGACAAGGACACCCTTGCTCTTGGTTGCTCGGGAGAGCATCGCTGGTAGATTTGGGGATGTCCAACAAGAAGTGGAACGGTTCTCACCGCTCTCCCCACCACATCCTCCCAAGGGTCTTCTGTCCCGGTCTCAGGAGGGCACTGCGCTGGTGTGACGAGGGATTAATTACCAAATGAGGAGAAATGGGGTGGAAGGGGAGAGCTGGCAGGACCTGGCTGCCTTTTCCCGGAGCCAGCTTGCCAGGAAGAGCTGAGCCCTGGGGGTTGCGACACGTCCCTGCAGATGTGTGCCCTCCAGATCTCCCCATGGGGAGGGGAAAAGTGAATCACGAGGGAGTTGTGCAACACTATTTAAAGTCTGGGGAGGTTGGTGTGCTTGAGGAGAGCAGCGACACGCTGACCTTGCTGGTTACTCAGATCCTCTCACAAAGCAGGGCCTGGCCCTTGGTGAGCACGGGGATGGAAGAGATCTTTGTCATCCAGGAGGCAGCAGCAGCCGCGGCGAACAACAGCTTTGTTTTCTCCTGCTCCTCCCCCAGCCAAGGCAGGGACAGGGGCTCTGCTCACCCACAGGCACCAGTCAGGCCAGCTGGGGAGGTTCCACTCCCACCATTTCTGGTTCCTTATCTTGAGGGATGAGCTCCCCAAGGAGCCCTCCAGCATGGACCCTCCCAGCCCTTGGTCACCTCCAGCTCCCACCGCTTCAGGAACGGCTAGAACCCAAAACTTGTGGAAGGGCACGCTTGTGGTAGCAGCCCCGGGTGCTCAGCACGTTGTCTGAGGAGGATCAGAGAAGGGGTTGGAGTTCTCCACTTCAACCATTGCTCCTGGCAGTGGTGACCACAGCCTGGTCCATGCTGTGAGTACCCTGGGTGACATCAGGAGCTCAGAACTCCTGCCACCCCTCTGGCTGTGGGTACACTCGGCACCCAGCTGCTATTTTGAGTCTGCTGTTGTCACCGAGGCTGGGGAACTCAAAATAAATAAATACCAAACTATACCCAGGAGCTGGGTGGATTTTTTGAGACGCCCCTGGAGAGCCCGATACAAGAAATAAGCTTTGTCAGGAAGATGAATTCCTGAGGGGAGGGAGTAGAAGCGATGCGAGGAGTGTCCCCCCGCACTGCTTTCCTCTTTTACAGATACTTGCCCACGTGGTGGTGGGTCTGACCGGGCTTCCCAGCCACCCTCCCACCTCCAGCTGGACTGAGCATCTTCCAAAAAGGCCACAGGCTGGCGTTTGGAGGATCTCCTACCACTGCTGCAGTGGTGTCACACTTTCACCAGCTCAGACTGCACATCCCTGCCTCTGACCCCGACTGTCTCCCGGGCAGGGCTGGAGGGGGCAGCCAGAGAATAAGAGGAAGGAGAAAGACAGCTCCACAGGGAGAAGCAGGGACCCTCTCCCCCGTTTTCCATCCCCGCTGGCACCACCATGTCGAGAGCAGAGGGACTGGGTCAGCACTGCCAGGCGCGGGGAGGACGCAGAGGTCAGGGAGCGCCGTTGGCAGGGGGCTCGGTGTGCTGGGCACGGCTCCATTGCTGCACACTCACCTCGCTGGGCTCCTGGCAGGGCACTGCCAGCTCGGGCAGCCAGCTCCGATGTGTCCGAGGAGATTTCTGCCCTCGGCACTGCCTGGGCCAGCTCTGAGCAACACGACGGGGCAGACCTCGGCTGTGTGACTGCAGCAGCTCCTTCCCCAGGTTCAGTGCTTGAGGACCTCGGTCTTCCCCGGGCCAGCGGGGTTGGGGGGGGATTCTGCCCCTCTGCTCCGCTCTGGGGAGACCCCCCCAGTGCTGCCTCCAGCTCTGGGGCCACCAACAGCAGAAGGACATGGAGCTGTTGGAGCGGGGCCAGAGGAGGCCCCAGAGATGCTGGGAGGGCTGGAGCCCCTCTGCTGGGAGGGGGGGCTGAGAGAGTTGGGGGGGTTCAGCCTGGAGAAGAGAAGGCTCCGGGGAGACCTTGGAGCCCCTGCCAGTCCCTCAAGAAGGGGGGCTCCAGGAAAGCTGGGGAGGGACTCTGGATGAGGGAGGGGAGCCCTAGGAGGAGGGGGAAGGGTTGGACCCTGCAAGAGGGGAGATGGAGCTGAGATGTGGGGAAGAACTTGTTTGGTGGGAGGGTGGTGAGAGCCTGGCCCAGGTTGGCCAGAGAAGCAGGGCAGGGGGTGGCCCTGGGGGGGCTTTGAGGTCCCTTCCCACCCAAACCGTTCTGTGATTCTATGATTCCCCTGCCCTGAGCCCCCCCAGTACAGCTGCCCCCCACCAGGAGGTTCAGTTTCTCTCTCTGCTGCCAAAAAGTCCCTGCCCTCTGCCTGCAGCATCGCTTGCCCGTGATAATGCTGGGTCACGATCCCGCGCTGCCGGGGAGGGGGGGAAGAAGCTCCGCATTGTTGTCGTCAGTGCTTTGCAGAGCCAGTCACTGCCTTGTTTTCTAAGGTTTTTCACCAGGGAGCGGAGCAGCGATGGGCCTTGGTCTTCCCCGGGCCGGCAGGGTGAGGGGGGGATTCTGCCCCTCTGACCTCGGTCTTCCCCGGGCCAGCGGGGTTGGGGGGGGATTCTGCCCCTCTGCTCCGCTCTGGGGAGACCCCCCCAGTGCTGCCTCCAGCTCTGGGGCCTCAGCTCAGGAGAGACATGGACCTGTTGGAGAGGGGCCAGAAGAGGCCACCATGGAGATGCTGGGAGGGCTGGAGCCCCTCTGCTGGGAGGACAGGCTGAGAGAGTTGGGGGGGTTCAGCCTGGAGAAGAGAAGGC